AAATCTAAAAGAAGAGTTGGTTCCCATATGAAAGAAAAGTTTCTCAACTAACTCTGTTTTTTTTTTTTTTTTAAGAAAAGATAATAAACGAAAAGCAAGTCAAAAAGTGAATATCTGGTTAACAATTCCGAAATATGCTACAAAACTTTTAAAAACGCTGCAAATTATTTCACAATGGTTTATTATTTCCAACCAATTATACATATAAATTAACATTACCTTCCTAGTGACAAAGAAAAAGAAAAAAAAAAAAAGGGTAATTCCAATTATTAGCCTAAACATTTTTTTTTCATCATTATTATTTGATAAAAAAAATAAATAATTAATATCAGTTTCGTACTACTTTTCGTTTATGAGCTAGACTGTTAACACAAACACACACACACAGACCATTTTGCGATACTTGGTTATTTGGACTCAGGAGACTCAAAACATGTGTTTCCGTTGAAAACTGATATTCGAAAATTTTCACGATTGCAATACTTACCCTTACTATATATTACATATACGTAAGTGAAATTAATATCATTACTTCAGTAACACATTAAAAAATAAACAAACAAAACAAATGTTATAACCTTTGCAGTAGAACATATAAAAAGATCTAGAGACCACATCTTTGATACTTTGTTAGAGACCCCTAATAGTCTGATTTCGACATTTTTTTATTTTTATTTTTAAATTTTGTGAATTATTAATTAACCATATACAAAACCCACAAAAATAGTGTATACTTTTTGAGTTATTTGGAATATATAATTTTACTATCCCTCGAAACTTTTTTCCAGCTTCTTTTCGTTGAAGTATGTTATATAGATAAATTTAAAGGGCATCGAAAAGAAAACTTCAGCCGAGTTTCATTGAAAGCATTACATTCGTTTAGGCGCTACAGTGTACAGCAAACCAGATTTTTCGGGCGCCATATTAAAAGGAAAAGGCGGATAGATAGTAATGTCGATCATCCTCGGGTGATCTCTGATTTTAAATCCAAATTTGAAAAAAAATCGGTCCAGTAGTTTCAGAGAAAATGGTCGTACGGCGTACATCGGACGGCGGACGGACAAAACAATTTGTATTCGTTTTTCGAATTATACGCACCTGAAACGTAAAACCTCAAATTTTGAGATGCAGTTAAGCTAATGAAAATTGTTCGATTACAATGGTTCATTATTGAAAATAATAAACCAAAATAAAAAGTCTTGTATTAATTTTTTTAAAACTTATTTATTGATAAATATAAGAATCTGTATTAATTAAGGACTTTTATAATAGTGTTCTGAGGGTCCATTAACACTTTATGTACAATACATAAATATAAATTAAACAGCAAAGTAATGATACTAAAAATAAATGTATACCTATATAAACAAAAATAAATCAAAATAACAACTTATATAAATTGTATTTCTTAAAAACTTGTTTATTGAAAAATATTACAATCTGCCACAATTAATGGACATTTATAATAGTGTTCAGAGATCACACCTACACTCTAAGAAATTTTATTAATGAAAAACTTTTTTTTTTTTAAAAACGGCTACAGAAGTACTGATTCGCTATTATATACGATAGACGTGTTTAATACATTCGCAAAAGGCTTTGTAACGGCTTTGTTTAAGCAAACGGCTGGATCGGTTTTTAAGTTTGATTTAGTATTGATATATATCGGTATTTTTAGCTCAAATTGTTTCAAAACAGGTGATCACACCGAATAATTTGAGCTATGAAACTTAAAAAGCGAGCCAGCAGTTCGCTGAAAAAAGTGTTACAAAGCTTTTTGCAAATTGATAAAATACATTTTATTTTATAATGGTTCAGTATTTCTAGATCAAATTGTTTCAAAGCACTCAGGGAACCACACCGAATAATTTGAGCGATCAAACATAATTCCCTCAAGTTTTTTTCTGTATTTGACTAGCTAATTCTTGATTGATTCGTTCTACAATTAAATCATGAACACTAGCGGATCCAGGATTTAATTTTTGGCGGGGGGGTCTTCAAATACATAACGATAATCGCATTGGAAAAAAAGAAAGAAACTAACTATCTTTCTATATGAAATGGTGTTTAAGTGATTCTTGAAGTCCTATTGAATATAATTAGACTAACAATAATACTTTAAGAGATGATGTTTTAATATTTTTTCCATAACATGGTTATATTTTACCATTTTTAGGGGGGGACATCGGGCTGAAGTTCCCTCCCCCGTAGATACACCTGTGGTCATGAAGAAAAAAGTTTTTAATAATTAAATTTTCTTCAAGTATATATATATATATATATATATATATATATATATATATATATATATATATATATATATATATATATATATATAATAAACATATAATAATTATAATAATAATGCTTTATTTATTCTGGGACGAGTCCCTTTAGAATAATACAGAGAGACAAATGTGTTGGGTAAGGAGCCTCAGAGAAAAATAAACAAGAATATAGTTTGATTAAATATTAAAAAAAAAAACCAAATAAATAAATTTTAAAAAAATAATAAGAGAAATTATAAGTTACTTTCTAATTTACATCAGTTAATAATAAAAAATTGAAAATACACATGAAGTAAAAATAATAAAGAACTATCTAATAATTTATATACATATTTGCAGCAGTAACTATTTACAATTTCATGAGGACTGGGTGGATAAGAAATGATTAAACAGTCGAGATAGGAAGGTAGGAAGGGTTTTGGATTGACGGATGTGGGGAGGGATGGAGTTCCATAGGGAAGAGGATCGAATAATAAAAGATTTATCGAAAGCAGCGGTTCGGTGGGCCATTATATGTAAATCTGAAGACCGGCAACGGGTATTGCGGGAGTGGACAGAGGATCTAAATTGAAGGAGCTCGGCGATGTATGAAGGACGGCGGGAGTGAATTACTTATATATATGTTATGTTATTAGTTTATCTTCAACGGTTCAAAAGTTAGATCAATTATAACTTGATATGTCAATTCCGAGAATTCGCAGAAATAATAATTCTTATAATATTCGTTATTATGTTGCTTTAACTCTCTATACTATAGAGCAACTATAGTACTTTATATTACTATAGAGCAATATGATAACGTCTATTATAAAAATCATTTTTTCCTGCAAATTCTCGGAATTGACATAATGTTATAATTGATCTAACTTTTGAACGATTGAATTTAAATTAGTAACATAATATATATTCTTGAAGATTTTTTTTATTTAGTCATGAAATTTACAACTGTATAATATAAATATACATCTTGTAAATGTGTACAAAAAAAAATACACTAGTATGAAAAGAATTGTAGAGAATCTACCCATTGGTAGCACTTTAATTAAGTATCTAAATTATCAGATCAAGAGGCCATATTTTTTTCAGACGCCCAGGGGGTTATCAGGGATCCAAGAGGAAGCAAGGTTTGAAACGACAGAATTAGGATTTCTTTCCCGAAACTAAACTAAGAAAAACCATAATTTTTTTCATAAATAAAAGGTATATTTAAGCAATTATGTTATTACAACACATCCAAGATCACGGAAAAACAAAAATTAAAAGTTTTGCAACAGTTAATTGTTGTCATTTTTGCTTAGACACTTCACTTTTAGATGACAGGATAAAAATCCCATCATTCGTCTACATAACTTGAGATGAATCACAGGTTTTTGCCTAATAAACCTTAACTTAATTATTATGGACTTAAATTTTATTAAACAAGGAAGTTTTTCTAAAAGTGCGGTATATGTAGCATAGTTAGATGATAAAAAAAAATCCCGAATAATTTATTATTTTTTTTAAAAACGTAGCTTAGTTTAGCCACTCAAAAGTCTTCTTTTAATCGTTGACTCTGCACAAAGAAAGATGGAAAGAGCGAAACAGAACTGGTTCGCAGTTTTGCGCGTACATAGGCAATAAGCATATTAGAAAATGATATGAAAGGACTGTGGTTTTTACCTTTACGAGAAAGGAGATACTAGCAAAAGTAATACCCATCGCGATCCATTCCTGTTTAGTGTACCAAGGAAATTATACAAGAGAATCGCAGAAGCTGGAATAATAAATATTGCCTATTGCCAGAGCGATATGGATTGAGAAACTCAAGTTGCACATTGGATGTGCAACGTGTGTGTGCACCTTCAGCAATCGAAAATAAAGTGGTTTTCACCATAATTAGCCTACATCGTCCACTTATTATCATCCAAACTGCAATTGACTCCCTTTTAGCAGCATCTTGAAATATTCTATTCATCTGTCTACTATACATTCATTTAGCTGTATAATGGATACTGCCCCTCCCCTGGTCCTTTTTATTTTTTCCGAGCTTTCGGCACTTCCTTTCTCGTTCGTTTAATGTATTTTTCCAATTTTCTGGTTCAATTTCGCGTTTTTCCTCATTTTGAGACCAAAAACAAACAATCAGTTCTGGTTTAAAGAAGAAGTTATAGCGTCATCCTTTCTATCTTTCTTTGTGCAGAGAGAATAATTCATTCAATATTAAAATTATTTTTATATATTTCTTTAGATATGGATTATTATTATATGTTTATAAAAATCGGTATTATAATATAATATGGTAGCATGGGCGGATCTAGGGAAGGGCTTTGGGCTGAAGCCCCTCCAAAATGGTAAAATATAACCATGTTTTATGGAAATATATATTAAAACATTATCTCTTAAAGTATTATTGTTCGTGTAATTACATTTAAAAGGACTTAAGGAATCACTTAAACATCATTTCATATAGATAGTTAGTTTCTTTCTTTTTTTCCAAGTTATTATCGTCATTTTTATGAAAAAAAAAAAGCTTTCAGGCTGAAGCCCCTCCCCTCAAAAATTAAATCCTGAATTTAATTAATCAACAAAAAATAAATCAGCATTCGTTTACCATGATTTTCGACTATATCACATAACCAACATTCTTTGTTTAGGAATTCCTTACACAATTAATTTGAAATTAACAATCAGTTGCTAATAAAGGCACCTTAACAAACACATGGCCATTTAATTCTGTAAATTATTAAACACATTATCATGTGTTATTAACTTTTTGCAGGTGAAAAGGTGAAAAATATTTTTCATTCTGCTATTATTGTGTTATAGAAGTAGAGTTCATAACATATTTTTATTTTAAATAGTTTACATTTTTACTTCTCTTCAATTTTTCTATAAATAGGACAATTTGCTCTTATTCTTACTTTATTTGTCAGCTTAAAATTAACTGTTATTGTTTTATTCATATATTTTTAATTATGATTTAATGGAACAATACTGACTTTAGTTGCTATTGTAAAATGTTTCATTGTAGTTTATATATAACATTCAGCATATTATGAAAAATTAGGTATTTCATCCAATTCATAGAATCGAGATGTTATAATTTTTAAGAAAAATATTCAATGAAAATAATTTTTTTGATGTACATCTTAGATGGTAGGGAACCTGCTCACATATAATTTGAACAAGCTGGAACTACTTGGAGTTCAGGAAAGCATTTCTTCAAAGTAAGTGAAACATATAAGCTTCAATTAGGTAGCATAGGTATTTTCAGATCCACTTTTAACAATTAAAATTTCTAATAACTCAGTTTTAAGTAACTTATTTAGTTGTGTTTATGATATTTATTTACACCACAAGGGCATAGTCTGAAGAGAAGCAATTAATTTAAGGGTGGGGGAATTATTTATTTCATAATTAGTTTCTTTCAGAAGGTTTTATACCTACAACCGACCTTTATCGTTAATCAATATTTCAAAAATTTGCTTTTTATATTTGTTGTTACTTAATTTTAACTTTTTCAATGAAAGAGAGAACTGAAGGAGGGGGGAGCGCAGCTTCTCCCTTTTTACTTCCTCTGAATAAATCCATGGTGCGAATATTTTATTCCAAATAATTTCTCATTTCTTTAGAGGCAATCATACTGGATTTTTCAACTTCTGCCTTCCATTTTTCTTTATTACTTACAAGTACTTTGTTCAGCTTCAACTGGTGTTTGTCTTGGAGTACACTATCGTCGGAGTACATCCACAGCCCTTGGTGCCCTCTCCCTTCTTCTTTTTCCATCAGTGTGTCTTTTTGGCATCCTGCTCTCTTCCATTTTCATTAATTAGCCAAACCATTTCATTCTTTGGATTCTGATGCTAGCTGAGATATTCAGATCTTTGTAATTATTATATAAGTCTCTATTTTTTCAAAGCCTCCATATTCCTTCTTCACATATTGGTCCCAGGATGTTCCTTGGTTTCCTTCTCTTAAACCAGTCCAGTAGATCACTGTTTTTTTTTCATGACCCAGGTTTCACTGGCATTGCTTACCACGGGTCTTATTTGTGTTTGGTATCTGAACATTGTGGTATTAAGTATCGGACTTGCCGAAATATGCTCTGTTTCCAGCATTATCCTTTTCTTGGTCCAGTTGTTTATCTATTATTATAAATTAAAGGTACTGGAAACTGCTTACCACTTTCAAACTGTCGTTATCCATTATGTAATGTTTTTGGTGAGCTTGCTTCATTCTTCTGATCATTATCTTATTTTTATTTTCTTTGATAAAAATAAGATAATTGAGCAAGCTCTATTCTGCTTGCTACATTTTCAAGCTATCCATGCAGCCTTTTTAAGGACTTGCAATGTTGTTTTCAACTAATTTGAGCATCCTCCTTGAGTACCATAATAATAATAATAATCGGCGTTACTGCCCTTGAAGGAGATGGGCCTCATGACAGATTGCACGCAAGGCTGGTCTGTCGGCAGCAACCGCTCTTCATCCTCTAACTCCAATTGGCACAGGTCTTCCTCAATATCGTCCAGCCATCTCATTCTGAAACATCCAGGGTATCACCCAGCTTTTCAAAAAGTAGAGTAAAAAAACGTCTAAAATGATCTTAATGTCATTAATAAGAAACATCTATTATATAGCCATTCTAACTGCTCATAAAAACCTTATTTTTCTCCTCTTGTTTATTGATAGTTGGAGGATGCACACATATCAGGATGTTGCTATATTCTTCTTTCAGTCTTACTTTACATTGGCTCTAACCTTCTCTTTCACAAGCATTATTTCTCACTGGTTTAGTGAATTCATGTGTCTTAATCCTTGCTCTCTGAGTTTTTTGTTTCTTCTTATCAAGCATTCTTCTATCCTCTTCTTGAATTACCAGACTCTAACCAGATAATTTTATACTCCTCTTGAACTGCTTCCCATAGCTAATTCTTTATTATTTGAGGCAATCTTTTTTATTTTTATCAATTTCTTTATATTTTTCTCAATATTTCTTTCCCATCGCAACCTTAATTGCCAATCCACTACAGAAAAAGTAAGAGTATATTTGCAGATATTCTTTTTATCTATTGTTTTTGTTGATATCTTTGTACCAAATAATACATCCAATTTTTTAAAGTATAAACAATATCGATGAGGATAAAAAAAGGCCTTGACTACATTTTTCTCCTTTTGTTCATTGATTAGTTTAAAAAAATATCTGACTTCCTTAATACTTCTAGTGAAAGTC